TCCCATCAGTGTTCGATGGAATCGTTCGACGCTGCCTTGTGCTTGTGAGCTGTATGTAGGTGATTGTCTGACGGTGATGTTGCCGCCCATCTTGCTTGCTGCTGTTTGTAGGAGTGCAATCAGATGGTCTTCTTGATCTGATTGCAGTATTGTGCTGTTGAGTACTGCTTGTACTCTGCCGCATTCCATGAGGAATGATTGGATGCAGTTGACATGGTATTGAAAGTCTTGTTGCTTGTCTCCTACCATTGTTGCCATCACCATGCCTGTTTCAACGTCAATTCCTGTAAGGATTGCTGTTGTTGTTGCTTCTCCTGCTGTCTTGAAGTAGCAGAAGTCGAATTGCACCACTGGCATTTTGCTCTTCTGTTTCGGGTGATTGTCTGCTCTTCCTTTGTTGGCTACACATGTTGGACACCAACTCCTGAAGGGAAGGTGTGTGAGCTCGTGTTCTGCTCGCTCTTGTTGTGTAGGTTGTGCTGGTGCTGTAAGTCCTCTTGCTGGCTTTGCTTGTTGTGGATGCTCCTCATCCTCATCCTGGACCTCATCCTTGTATGTGACGCTCTCCTCAAAGTTTGTTGAGCCAGTCCATGGGACGCTCAAAGTTGCTTGTCGTTTTGTTGTCCAATCATCGTCAATTCTGTACCATCTTGCTCCCGATGTTGGTCTGACCATTGTTGTTCTCTCTGGGTTCAGTTTTGTCACATCTGGTCCATCTTGTGTTTGTTGCGGTATGTAGAGTTCTGTTCTGGGTCTGATGTGAACTCTTTTCCAAAGGTGTCCTTCACGGATCCAGTGGTCCTCTGTTGCTGGAACCTCCTTTGGTCTGGGAATGCCGGTTGCTGATGGTGATTGCTGTGCACTGCTTGGCTGTTGTTCCTTGTTTGCTGCCATCTCCTCTGGTCTCTCTGGCTTCTTCTCGGTGTATCTCCTCTTCTGTAATGCTGGTGATTGTTGTTGTTGGTTGGATGCTGTTTGTGCTCTGCTTGTGGTGTCTTGTGATGCAATTGGTGGCTTTGGTGGTCTTATGTTCGGCTTGACCCTGAACCATGTTTCTCCTTTCCAAGCTGTGTTGAGTTTCCTCTTTTGCTTGCTGTGGTCCAGGCTGTGAAGTTGCTCCACAAAGTCTTCGGTTGTTCCGTCATGTTTGTGTGCGATTGTCCTCCTGTAGTCCTCGAGTTTGTCCATTGGGACTGGACATTTTTGATCTGGCATGTATGTTGCTCTTCGACTTGCTTTGTGAAGTCTCACCAGATATCCTTGGCTGTTGTAGGTCCAAATGTCGTGTTGATGTGTCACCCATTGTGTTCCTTCTGGTGTCAATGTGATGGGTGATATTATTGCTCTGATTCCTTGTTGTGACTCGTGTACGTCCAGTTTGTAGTTTGGTGGTGTTCCTGTGGTGTTCACAGGCAGGAAGTATGTTCCTTCCTTTGTTTTCAGTTTTGCTTCAAATCCGTTTGGATGTGTGGTTGTTGGTTGTTCACTGAGATGTATTGAGAAACCTTGTTCTGTCAGTCTTGTTACCGACAGAATGGGTTGTGAAACCGAGCACACATAGAATGGGATCACAATTTGTTGGTTGCTCTCGTTTGTCATGTAGACCCATTTGTACCCATAGACTTTGATGGGATCTTCTGTTGCTGTTCTCAGGTTTGGCCTCTCGTGTTCTGGTGTGTCATATGTTTGTGTTGTCGAGGCAAACCAGATTGGGCAGACATGTGTTGCTGCTCCACTGTCGATCATAAGCTCATCTTTGTTGATGTGTGTGATCATCCTCATGTCTGGTGCTCTGATTATGCGGTTGCTGTTGCGTGGTACTGTGACCGCTGCAATCTGCAAAGCTGGTGTTGCATCTAATTGTGCAGGTGCGGGCAATGCCAATTGTTGTGGTTGTTGAACTGCATTGACTTGTGTTTGGTCGTTTGTCCACCAATGGTTGTCACAGGTGGTCTGTGGTCCATACCACTGTTCTGTTGCGTCGTTGTAACCTTCCTGGATATCCTCTTGTGTGTTGTACATTGCAACTCTGCAATCCTTTGCCGTGTGGCCATGTTGACCACATCTGTAGCAGCCTGTTGTGTATCCTTTTCCTTTGCCTGTTGGCTTTCCTTGCCCTTTTCCTTTTCCTTGCGCATAGCTGTTGAATCCTTTGTAGTATGTCTGTTGTTGGCCAATTGGTCCTTTTCCTTTGCCTTGTCCTCCGTAGCCATAGCTATGTTGGCCATAGCCTTTTCCTTTGTTGCCTTTCTTTCCTTTGTTCTTTCCTTTCTTTCCTTTGCCTTTGTTCTTTCCTTTTCCTTTTCCTTTGTTGATGGCTCCTATATCCATTGGTGCAGCTCCTCCATTGTAGTTTGTTGCAACACTGGATGATGCTCCTTGCTGGAGTCTGGTGAATGCTGTTGTTGTTCTGTAGTATTCCATGATTGTTGCTCTGACGTCGGTGTAGGTTGGTGTCGCTCCAGCCATGAGTTGAAGATGTTGTTGTAAAGGTCCTTTTGTTTCATTCATCAAGACTGCAATCTTGACTTGGTCTGGAAGTTGTGTGTTGTTGTCCCTTTCATACTTGTTGAGCTCAAACTCCCAATTGGAGAATGACTCCTCGAAGTTGTTGTTGTCGAATGTTGGCTTCAAAAGCTTTGTGAGATACCCGATGCTTCTTGTTCCAATGGGCAATGCAAATCTAATGTTGGGTTGTCGGAGTATCTCGAGTCCAATCTCGTGTTGATACTGTCTGCAAAGTGTGGCTGCTGCTCCTGTTGTCACATTGATTAACACGTACTTAAGGTTGCTGTCGAGTTGGACCCATGCATCTGCTTCCTCCAGTGTTGTGGCTGCCTGTCTTAGGTGTGCCTCAGTCACTTGTTGTGTTGCTGCTTCGGCCAGTCTGAACATCCTTGGATAGAATGGGTCATGTAGGCCCATGTATGCTGTGAACTTGTATTTCCATTCTTCATATGTGGCATAGTTGCCATCATATGTTGGAGGTTTCAGTTTGAGCTTGTGTGTTGCTGCCAAGGCTGTTGCTTCGTCGTCTGCTGGCGCTGCCATTGTGGTTTGTGTTGTGCTGAGTGTTGTTGAGAATCCCCCAGTGTTCTGGGATCAAGTCCTCTGCCTGTTGTTTACTGCTGTTGCTTGGAGATGCCCCTGGTTAGGCAGAGCTCCGCTACCATGAAAGATTCACAGCAGCTTTCCCCTGTTGAATGCAGTGTTGAACACGCGCAGCTGTGTTTGTTTCTCTCGCTGTTGTCTCTGGGCACTGTTGTCTTGAGCCACTTGAGCCAAACGTTGTCAAACGTTTGGATGTTGGTGTACAGGTATGTTGGTCTACTGTACACATACTTCGATATTAACATGTGTGTCTGTGTGCCTGTGTGTATGTGTATGTGTGTATGTATGTATGTATGTATGTATGAATGTATGTATGTATGCATGCATGCATGCATGTATGTATGTCTGTATGTGTGTGTATGTGTGTGTATGTGTGTGTATGTGTGTGTGTATATGTGTGTGTATGTGTGTGTATGTGTGTGTATGTGTGTGTATGTATGTATGTATGTATGTATGTATGCATGCATGTATGTATGAATGTATCTATCTATCTATCTGTCTACCTATCTGTCTATCTATCTATCTATCTGTCTATCTATCTATCATTATCTATCTATCTATCTATGTATGTACGTATGTGTGTGTATGTATGTATGTATGTATGTATGTATGTATGTATGTATGTATGTATGTATGTATGTATGTATGTATGTATGTATGGATGTATCTATCTATCTATCTGTCTATCTATCTATCTATGTATGTATGTATGTTTGTATGTATGTATGTATGTAGGTGTGGTACGCAGGCGTTTTTAATTCGATTGAATTGGAACCGTAATTCGGCGTATCCAAGTACGATTCCAATACTACCGAATTACGTCCGGAATGGTGGAACCCGGGGAATGGTGGGGCCCCAAGGGTTGGAACTCCTGCTTGCCAACCTTGGAACCATGGGTTCCAAGAACTGCGGGTTTAGAAAGGTTGGAATTTTTGCGTGCGATTGAACATTGACTCGCGCAATAGCGTCCTTTTGTTTTTGCTGAGCGGCCCGGGAACAACATGTGGAAACGGAAAAATTTGTGGAAAGAGCGGTCGTTGTTCTGATTGTTCTGCTTAATGAGCCGGTATCAAAATGTGTTTGTGCAAAACCATGGCGTACTAGACCGAAATGAAAACACATTGTGTTAAAGTAATCGCTTTGTCTTGCTTAATGGGCTGGAATACATGGGGTTGAGAAGTACATCTTTCTCATGCATTTCATGGATCGGATTGCAAAACATCTTGCGTTGAAGGCGCAGTTTCTATTCTGCGCAGAGGCAAGGATAACAATGTATTTCTGGATAACAGCATCCCTCCCTTTCTATTTGGGGTCTATGCCGTATGACGGTATATAATTTGGCTTCAAACAGATTCAAACTGGATCAAACTGGCATATTGCAATCCCGAGTTTGACCAAGAGGCTCAAATGCTCCAAACGGTTCATATAAAGAGTGTCACTTTGACAGTAAAATATAGGAATTGTATGGAATTGTAGCTGTGGCCAAGATTGCGGCTTAGCGTATCCAAGTCCAGCAGAAAGGGAAACAACATGAAACAACATTCAACAACAAACAACAAACAACAGCAACAACAACAACAACAGCATGCTGGAGTATTACAGCTCACGTATTACAGCTCACGTAGCAACTTGTTTACGAATTCGGTGGCAACGTCTTTAGATCTGCTTCCAGCATCAATGCAAGAAAGCTGTCCAAAAATATAGCACTTCCTAGGCCCTTAGAAAAACCATGCTGCAAAATTGTGATATGTTCGGTAATGATCAGGATATATCAGGATCATCAACAAAATATGTCGGATGGATGGTGATGGGACCTGCACCGCTTCCAGTGCACTTCTTGAATCTTCTCTGACAGGAGAGCACCCTCTCGTCCAATGCAGGTAGGCAGCAAATACCAGCACTTCTTTCTCAGCATCACTCTTCAAGCACTTGCACCTTGAAACGCAGCTGCTTCTGAGCCGGGCATCACAAACATGAGATGGGGGTTAATTTGGTTTGATCGATTGATCGATGCTTCATGGGGTGTGATGATCGAAAATCATCTGCCCAGCACTCCTGTGCAGCCCAAGCGCGCATCATTTCCCATGGTAGAGGATAAAGCATTGAACAAAAACGTTTCAATCTGTCGCACAAATGTGTTATTCCGAGAAAAATAACGAGAAAACAAAACGTAAAGAGCAATCTCTACATGTCTGGCTCTCCCACAAAGTACTGTAATTCAAACATGGCGTCCTACCTGCTTCTAAAAACATTTTCTGGCAACAAGGAGTTTCATGTAAATGTGAACCATTGTGAACCCCTAGGACCTTTAGAGCTCAATGCTGCTGCAGAAACATGAAGCTGTCATTTCAATGAATGCAGCATTCAAATTCATTTCATGTGTCATGTGCAGCTAGAACAGGTGTGTAGCGATATTCCACGATCTATAGGGCACTGCCAGATTTGTTTGAACAGAAACAATGGATACTACGACAAAAAAAATCAGGCTTTTCGTACACGACCGCCTTGGGAGATCCTTGGTAAAAGCGACTGGAACCTGATTGGTCGGACATTCTGAATATCCAAGGTCCATAAAAATCAACGAAGGTCTATGAAGGTCTCAGGTAGCCACCCTTTTTTTTGCAACGCCACCGGTAGCCCGGCAGCACGGGCTGTTTCCCCTCTGCGCTGTGTCGATGGAGGTGCCGGGCTGACTGAGAACTTTTCACCGGATGGAGTAAGCATGAGAGAATCCGTCAGTTCAAATCTATCAAGCAAACACGGATTCAACAAATGTCAAATCCAGGAAAGCCCCGTTTCTTTTTGCAAATGTGTTTGGCACCCGACCAAAAAGGATTAGCACGTGCAGCAGGTTCAATATATATGATCCCGTCTTCCGACCACGAGGTCCCCCCCCCCATGGGTTGGGTCAGTATATAACTACTACTAACTACTAACTACTAACTACTACTAACTACTACTAACTACTACGAACTACTACTAACTACTACTAACTACTGCTGACTACTACTAACTACTAACTACCAACTACTCACTACTACTAACTACTGCGAACTACTGCGAACTACTGCAAACTACTAACTAACTAACTAACTAACTAACTACCTACCAAACTAACTAACTACTAACTACTAACTACTACTAACTACTACTAACTACTACTAACTAACTAACTAACTAAATAACTAACTACCTACCTACCTACCAAACTAACTAACTACTAACTACTAACTAACTAACTAACTACTAACTACTAACTACTACTAACTACTACTAACTACTACTAACTACTACTAACTATTACTAACTACTACTAACTACTGACTGCTACTAACTACTACTAACTACTACTAACTACTACTAACTACTGACTGCTACTAACTACTACTAACCCCCCCCACCCCCCCACGCCCTGTTACTTATTTTGTTTTACGTGTCTACACAATGCTTTCATGCATGTTGACATGTACACTTAATTCATTATCTTTCATGCGCACTCCGCATGGCTCAAGATTAGCAGCAATCCGCCGCGTAGAAAAAGAGTGCCGTCGCTCTCGCTTGTCACAGGTGTTTAGATTAGGTTCCAGGGCTCCCCTAAAGGGGAAAGCTACCTCAAAGTGGTAGTGGAGCCTGTGCCTTCGCCAAGTCCAGATCCGTGTGCCGAACTGCTGTTCTCTGCATACATTCCGTATATCGGACTTGCGGAGGCAACCTGTAGGTCAAGTTAGAGTAGCTGCCATGGTCTTAATCCACAACATGGATTCAGATGAAGAACAACTCCAGATTGTTTCTTATGAAGAGCCGGAAGCATATGCCGCCACCAGTCATTCCGAAAACCGGATGTGCATCAAAATGACACCGAAAGTTCCACCCCAATTTGATGGCCAATCTAGCTGGTTTGAATATGAAGATTTAATTGATGACTGGTTAGGGATCACAACATTGGATGCAGATAAGCACGGACCATCATTAAAGAATGCCCTCATTGGTTCCGCTTCTTTTTATAAGTCGATGCTCGATAATGCCCTACTCCGAGATCCGGATCGTGGCCTCGCTCATTTCAAGGACGCATTGAGACCATACTTCGTGAAGGGAGTAAATCATGTGTTCCTTTGGCGATTCCTCCAGATGTTTCGCACATATCGAGGCCAGAGTGAATTCGTGCACTGGATAGGGCGATTCGAAATCGCGCAGAAGCGTTTGTTGGCTTCTTGGTCCGATCTGCTGGACATATCCGATCTTCCCGAAGCAGGCACTCCGGCATTTACGGCAGCACTCACTGATGAGCAAAGACTGCACTATAACCAGATAGTAACAGATGAAGATAAGCTAGCTTATCAACAAGAACTAAGAGAACAGACCATAACCAATAGAAGGACCAGACATGCACAGCAGTTTCCATTGTCAGACAATTTGATGTCACTGATTTTCCTAGTTCAAGCAGACCTCAACGAGCAACAACGTGAGCGTTTTGTCTCGTCAATGAACATCCGTCAGATTGCAATGCCTCAGTATACCTATCTATCTCCAGGTGAAACAGCTGTTCTTAGAACTCTTTGCCGTTTCTCGCACAGGTGTTGCAGACCCAAACATCACGCACCGCAAGCGGTCCAACTTCTACGTCATCGACGAGGGCGAGACCGACGAAGGTGAGTACGGATTTTGGGTCTTCGATGAAGAGACGGGTGAAGAAGGTTTCACAGGTCTGTACACAGAGAACGAGTTCTGGGTTCTCAGCGCCAAGGGTTCATACTCTAAGCGCCGTATCTACGGCAGGTCCTTCAAGAAAGGTAGACCAAAAGGTTGTGGCAAGAAAGGAGGAAAAAGATCAAGACCCGGCTTCCGCCCGAGGTCAAAAGGCAAAGGTTTTGCAGCATGGGAAGATGACCAGCAAGACACAGCTTTCTGGGGAAAAGGCAAGGGCAAAGGAAAAAGTAAAAAGGGCAAGAAAGGAATGATGAAAGGAAAGGATTCTTTCAAAGGAATGCCTTCATGGAAAGGAAAAGGAAAAGGTGATGCGAAGAACAAAGGAGGAAACAATCCATTTATGTCACAACCTCCACAAGCTAATGTAGCACAGGCTGCAACATCTAGTGCATCACAAGCCCCTGAAAAACAAGAAACAGCCCATGCCGAAGAAAGCTGGGGTTATGACTATGACACCTATTGGACAGATGACTGGTCAGGTTATGAATCCTACTATGGATACGATGGAGATTACTCCCAAGGTGATTGGTACAATTGGTCTTACTTTGCTTCCGCTGAGGAACTGACCGAATCCGAGGACAAGCATTCAGACGTCATTTCTGAGGACGGACAGACCGACAAGATCAACCGGTTCTGTTTTTCAGGCATTTGCTTGTTCCGATTGTTCGGACACGAACTTGTAGAAGCCCTCACATTCGTGCTTCTGTTCGTGTCTTTGATGTACCAGTGCTTTTCAGATTTGAACAGGTCCTTGTTTAAGAGCATCCGCCAAGTTGAGAAGAGTGTTTCTACCGAAATCGGTGATCTGCATTCGTTTCAGCCGCGCACAAGCCCGCTCAATTCCGTTTTTACGGAAGAGTGTGTATTTCTCAATTATGATCATGGTGCCCAACAAGCATTGCTTTGTGAGTATGTAGATTTAGGTTCTCATCCGACTTATGTCATCCTTGACTCAGGTTGCACTCGAGCCATGGGATCCCGCTTTGCCATTGATCGCCTTGTACAGGCTTGCCAACAACATCCGAAGCGTGATCACATTTGGTTTTCCAAGCAACCGTGTTCAAGTAAGTTTTCATTTGCTAATGGAGAACAATCTACTGTCAAAGAAAGACTAGTGATTCATTTTCGCAATGATCGTGCACAGACTGGTTGGATAACAACATGCGTTGACATCCTGGACAAAGGTAAGGTTCCTTTCCTCTTTTCAGTTGAACAAATGAGGAATCTTCGCATGAACATTGAGCACACTCCTGTAGGTGAGTTCATGACTTGTCCACTGTTCGGAATGCAACGCACCGCATTAGCGGTCAGCACATCCAACCATCCAGTTCTTGACATTATGGCTCTTGCTACTTCCAGTTGGAAACCGATGTACAGCTTTCAGTCCGAAGACATCACATGCCCAGCATGCAATGGTAAACATCGACCACACACAAACAAAGAAGGTTGCAAGAGATTCAAGGGATCAGAGCCTAAGCCAGCACAAGTGCCGAAAACGGCCAAGTCTGATTCCAAGAAAATTGTCAAGAAGGTAATTCAGCCTGATAGCAAGTTAGACGTACCAGTTCAGCCTTTTGATCCTGATGAAGGGCCGATGGTGGCCTCTGGACCAAGTTCCGGTTCGAAGGACGGTATCCCAAGACGTCGGGAACCTCAGATTGAAGAAGAACCTGAAGTCAAACCGGAACCAAAGGTTGAAGTAAAACTTGAAGAGAAGAAGGAACCGTCACCTAAAGGAACTTTGTCATTAGCACTTCAGAGAATTCATGATAAGCTTCAATCACCTACTGAACTTCTCAAGTTGCATTTGAAGCATTATCACATGACTACCGAACAATTCAAGAGAAGAACATCAGCTCTGAAGTTGCCAAAAGAAATTTATGACAAGTTTGACCAGATCACCAAATCATGTGACACATGTTCCACGGCCAAGATTGCACCATCGAGAGCTAAGGTTTCAGGAATTCGAAGTGAAGTCTTTGGTGAACTTACTTTCATTGATCATGGAGAAGTTCCTATCAATCCTCAGTCAAAACTTCAATTCCTACTTATGTATGACGGTGCAACTTCATTGACTACTGCCTTTGTAGTTCAGAACAGATCTGATTCGGTGACGATATCTCATCTTCAAGAGTACTTTGAAACTTATCAGCTGAATCCAAAATACATTGTTGCCGATCAAGCTTTCATGGGCACTGAAATGGAGAGTTACTATAACCGGCACAGCATCAGGCCAATCTCTCTAGGACCAGGAACACCATGGCCAAACCGAGCTGAGGCAGCCATCCGCATGTTCAAGAAACAGGTCTCATTAATGCTAATTTCCTTGAAAAACGATCCTCTGCTTGCCAACATTACTTATAAACAGCTGTTGAGACAAGCTTGCATTTCAAGGAATACTATGGTAACACTCGGTGGTGTCACTC